AATGTTATTAAGTTTCATCAGACCAAAATTTGTAATGTAAATAGCAGCTGCCTGATCTGGTATGTTTCATACAATGTATTGCATTCTGTGGCTACAGGAATAATCAAGAATGGATACAATGTGAAAGTGATGTGTGTTATATTTTTGGCATTGGCTTAGTTAAATATGTCACAAAAAAAGTGTAAGAGGAAATGAGTGGGATTGAAATATATTGGGGTTTGTTCTCCTACTTGTTGTATTATCTTATAAAAATAATTGTGAATATTAGGAATCCTAGTAACATCTGAGCATGTGTTTGATAAAGCATTGTAAAGGACCAAAATTCCTAAGGCACGTTTTCTGAGAATTACGTTTTAGAGAGCATGCAGGGAACAGTACTGCGAAAGAGACTTTCAGGGAGAATTGTACTTGCCAGCCGTCCCATACTTGCTTTCTAAAGTGATGGAAACAAAGAGGCAGGGAAAGATCAGTCTCCTCATATCAGGCTCAAGTCTGGTGTATATAGGTTTAATATTCTTCAGAGCATCCCTTATTTTTTATCTGCTCCAGTTTGGGTGGTAGAATTTCTAGCACTTCTTTTCCCCTCTTGTCCTGCTTTTTGTCATAGTTACAACTTGCGTTTCTGTTTTTCTTTGTACAACCTTATCCAGTTCCCGGTCTTATGATCAGATGGACCAACCAGAAAAAGCTCAATTTCTCTCAGTTTTTATCTCTTCAGCTCTTGTCAACGTGTGTTATATTGTATTTATGCTCCTTAATGAAAATATTGGGTGAACAGGATCTTAATTCCCATCTCCCAAGAGAAGCAGAAATTGTTATTGGTTTATCTTTAGAGTTCAGCTGCATAAAGCACTGGACACAGTACTAAAAGGGAAATAATTCTGAACTAGAAAAGGATTGAAATAGATGTGGTTAGCAGCTGAAATTAGTATTATGTACAGTTGACTGAAAAACAGCCCTTGGAAAAATTGGATTTCCTTTTTGGCTTTGCCACTAACTTGTGAAGATGAGCAAAAATATGTTAGGTTGACTGTAAATCAAAGGCATTTTAGGCACACATGTTATCGTAAGATTGAGGGCAGGGTTCAGACAGGAATAATAGGTTATTACACTTTATGTTAAAAGGTACCACAGTTAAAGACAGTCATTCTGTACTAATTAATTCTTGGAAGCGTTTATAAAGAAGATATTCTTAAGCTGTTGTTTGACTTTTTTGTTGTTTTTCTTGTTTTACAGTGAGTTCAGTATGGTGAGTTTGTGTTTTCACACCTGTGCGCTATAGTTGTAAATTGTCGTAGTCCAAGAACTTCTGTTTTTTTACCCATGTAGAGCCACTTAGTTTTCCAGGACAAGGTGATGTGTTTCTGACCTGTAACACAATTTACTAAAACTGTGTTAGTTACCCCTAGTATATTGTATTTGCTGAAGGACTAGAAGAGAACAAATTTGATAAAAAAAAAAGTCTGAAATGGTAATGTATAATCTTGTAATGCAATAGCAAATAAAGTAAATAACCAATTTTTAACACTGGCAAAAATTTAGCCATTGAGTGTGTACTGAGATTTGTCTTTAGGACATCAAATAATTGGAAGAGAGGGTAGGCTATTAGAGGCAGAGCATCTGATGTAGTCAAAAATGTTCTCGCAATATAGTTACAAGAATAATTGAATAGGTTAAAATACGGCTTCCCTTCAGCTCACGGTTACTGCCCACTCAGCTCAGCCAGTGACTCTGAATGCTTCTAGCCTATTTTAATTCAAAATAAGACAAGCCCGTTTTAATCACCAGTGGAGCAGCTGGTACCAGCCTGTCAGAAGAAGGATGCTGGTCTTGTTTGAAACGCTATTCCTTGTATTTCTTTAGTGGGAAAATATATTTCAAAGTTCAGGGAATGGGTATTAAAAATCAGTTAGAAAAATAAATTGTGTTTTTTGTCAAAGAATTCCTTATCTTATGCCACTCAATGTGTATTCAGGATGGTTAGCTTTTATAAATGAAAAGCTTTGCATCTCTGGGTCTGAAAGTTGTGCAGACATCCTGACTATTAATGCAACTGGGAGTCAGGAAGGTGGAGAGACTGCTGCATCCTGGCCCAGTACTTAGCAAGCAATATCAGCATTCCCATTTGGCTGTAGTCCAAACGCTGTGCCTCTGTATCTTTGTTTTGAAGAATCGATGTAGATTGACTTGAGTTCAGGAGAGGATTTTGTCAGTCAGCTTTCAAGTAGTGAACATTGAGGCCGGTCCCTCGTTTGTGGAGCTGCCAGTACAAAAGTGAGTGTTTGACACGTGGCTTGCTCGGTGGATGGGGGGTAGAGGCTGCTGAGATTTTTCAGAGATCAGGCTGTAAATGAAGTTGTTCTGTTGGGTCACTCATCTGATTTACACACAAGCTGTTTCTATTGAAGCACCTGGGGCCTTTTGTTCATGCTTGTGAATAAGCCTCTTTCAGTCACCAACAGTAATTTAGCGTCTCTGCTTCCTTCAATAGGTAAAAGACAAGTACGGGAATGACATTTTCTCCCATACTGTGCAACTTCACACTTATTTTTTAAGATAGGTAACAGAACTGAATCAGTAATATAAATTTTGTTATATACTAGAGCAGATTCAGAAGTCATGTCAGGTGTTTGGTAGTTTTTTACTGCATACTTCCTAATTCTGGAATAATACTAAGCAGTGAGAGTGCACGGGTGAGTAACGATACCCTCTGTAGGTGCAGAGAGTTCTGCAGAATAGACTTCCAATGTTTTCCTTTGTTATCGTGGCAATTTTAGAGGAAGACATTTCATTACCTTTTAAGTGCCCTGGGACAATGGAGTGCCATAGCTGCAGCTTGTAGTGACTCTGACTTGAGTTGTAATCTCACATAAACTTTGAGGCAACTTAAGCTTGCCTTTCCACTAACAGGGTGGTCCTCATTTTTCCTGCCTCTGTGTCTTTCCATGATTTGGTCAGTACAGATATTTAAAGTAACCTCTCTTCTTTTGTCAGTCTAATTTTAATGGCAATCGGTTCTTCGAGTTCATTGTCACAGCATGAAAACTTGAGCCAGCACAAGGGATGAGAAAGCATGAGAAGAGGGAATAAATAGTTGGGGCAAGACTTGGATAAGTCTTTTTGAAAAAAACAAAACAAACAAAAAAACCCCAAACAACCCCCCCACAAAACCACAAACCACTTCATATTTATTTTGTGTTATGTTATGAATCCTAGGATAGGTAATGGTAAGCAGCTGATATTTACCTGGTGAATTTGCTCTGCATCATCAGAGGTACCATGTTGTAGTTAATCTCTCTTGTTACTGTGATGTTCTTGGAGAGTGATAAACAACTTTGATTTAAGTAAATGTATTATTTAATCGGTGAAATGCTGAACCATAGGTGTCTATTTCATATATATATATTTCTTAAGGCTGATTGTCACAACAGCTTTTAATAGCTGGAGTGATACATATTACATTACAAAGAAAAGATTGCTTGCATTTGGAAGGTTTTTGTATGTGGGAGTGTTTGTTTTCTGGGAGGTTAGGATGGCAGACAAGGAAGTATGGCTCAGATTTTTGTTGCTTGTTATACTATGGCTGTAATTTTTTTGGTCTTCACGAAGGGCATTATCTAGAAATTCATGTCATGTGTAATATAAAGTACTCAAGTTCTCGAGTTTCTCTATCTTTGTAAAGAGAAGAGTTTTTTTAAAAACGAAAATGAGGTGAGGAATTTGTTTTAAGGTATCATGAACTTCTAATAAGCACGTTTATGTAGGTTATGTTCCTCAGCAGTCTTTTAATACTATTTCTGCAACAGCAGGGTAAATGGCAGCAAAGTGCAGCAAAGAATGTGGTGATAGACAGGGTTAATCTCTCTGTGCCTGTCTGCACAGTACCAGATTATGGATGTTGGTGATCACCTTTCTGCTCATTCAAGGATGGGTTATGTTGCTCCTATATACTAATTTAGGGCAAGATTGTGCTAGGTTTTCTAGCCCTCTTAAGAGCGGCAAGAAATGGTGACTCAAAAGGCAGCTGTCATTTCATACCCATTCCAGCTGCCCTTTCCACTCAAATTTCCTCCCATCCCCCCCTTTAAAAAAAGAAAAGGAGGGGGGTGGGGGGAGAGAGAATTGCAAAAAAGAAGAGTATGAGGGTTTGAAATCTCCAGCATCTATCACATCCTATAGTTTTCATAGCTATCTACCAATTTAAAATACACTTGTTTTTTCCTGCCTTGCCAGTAATTAGACAAATGCAGCAGTGCTTATGGCATCAAAAACTCCACGGCTGGTAAAAGCAATTGCTATCATAATGCATCCCTAAATTTAATAGTAGTGGTGTAAAATGAACAAGCAACTCTATATTTCAGGAGGTAATGGCTTTAACTATCAAAATGGCTAGTATTTTCCTTGATTGGCTGCTTTGACTCCTTATTTGTGTTTGGAGAAACAGAATCAATTTATTATAATAATTGTATTTAATGAATAACAAGGCAAGCAGAAACATGAAACTCCTATCAAGTGTCACCAAGTTCCTATTCACCTTGGATTGCAAGTTTTTCCTTTTATCCCCTTTACAGACAAAAACCGAACATACAAAACCTTTTCTTTCCCTGCCAGTGTTACACTTGAAGTTCTCATTTCCTTTTCTGCTTCCCTTGCAAAATTGCTTGCTTTGTATTGTGCCTGGAGTGTGGCTGTGCATGGAGAAAGTAGTCTGATTAATTGGAAAGAAACTTTCTGTTACTGGAAAAACTTAGACGTCGGTGTAGAAAATTGATCATAATTTACTTTCTTGATCCATAGTGCCTTTTTCTTGCTACTATGACATCTGTAAAGCTTCTCCCAAGGAAAAGAGTCATCAGCAGTTTGTTTTCTCTTAAATATGTCTCAGTCTTTAAGGCTAGGTGCGGTTGTGTTGATGCCATTTGGCTAAGCCTTGAAAGTTCCTGTAATCTGTGCCATCCTGTCTCATACAGTCCCATCTCATAGTTGTCCTTTCTCTGCAGTGCTCTATGCCCAGATCTCTGTGGCTGGGCTGCTCCAGCCTGGCGGACAGCATGCCCTCGCTGCGATGCCTGTATAACCCAGGGACTGGCGCACTCCCAGCTTTCCAGGTACTTTCTGTCTCTCCCCACTCCTTTTCTCTCCATCTGTGTACGTGTGCATCTCCTTTACTTCCTTGCTTGCTTTACCTCCATTTATTCTGCCTCGTACTGTATGCCTCTCCTATGTCGTTCAGATCTCCTCTGGTATTTAAACCCTTCTTGTGTAGATTCAGGGCAGCGCAGTATCGGGGCATTTCCATTACCCTGATGTAATACAATTATTTTGTCTAAATTGGCTTGATACCATCGTCTTTTCCATTCGCTTTCAATTGTGTCAAAAATATACCACTTAATTATATTTGGCAAACTGTATCCATCACACAGTCTCCAATCTGGCTATTCATGCAGTGATTCCCCTCCTATCTACAGTTTCTGTATGCCACTTAGAGGACTGAGGGGGTGGGTTCATTGCCATAGTGATAATTGATGCCAGCGTCTGTTTACTTCAGGTTTGTTAGCAGTAGTCTGGACATTTTGACTACAGAAAACTATTGTACAAGCAAGCTGTCAATCAAAAGGCAAATAAAGGAAACCCGTTTTTTCTTTGGTCTCTGAATTTGTTAGATTCAAGACAGCTTTCTGCCAAACAGGTTTGTTCAGATGCTTTGGGTGACCAGTGAATCTTACAAAACGCAGCCGCTCAGCTGTGGGTAGAGAGTGAGGCAGCTATTGGGTGAGCATCTAGAAACCTAGACAAGGCTCTCGAGATCATCGCAAGCGTTTTATGATGACGTGGATATAACCAGGATAGCAGCAGAGACTGGACTGTAAAGATGTTATATTCACGTTGGATACTCTGTCTTTGAGATGTTCTGTGTGAACTGTAGTGACTGAGGGACCTCAGGAGTATCCCTGTAGATTGCATGGTCGTTGGAGCTTGTGGTATCAGGAACGTTTGCTTCAAGGCTTATGCTGCTGGATTACGCTGCTGCTGACCTAACCTGCCGCAGAGTTTTATTCACCAGCGTCATGCAAAACAGACATAATGGATAAGCTAGAATCTTTCTGAAACTTTCAATCATTTTGGTGAAAGTTCATTACCTGCCTCTAAAGCTCAGCATGCAAGGATTATTTTGAATTTGGCTTCTTGCTCCCAGGGCTAGGAGAGTACTGTGGAAATAATCCTTACAGTCTCAGGGGAGGCTTAAGTGTCTTGCATCATTTTGCTGCAACTGTTTTTGCTGACCCAGCAGTAGCGCTGATGGACTCTGGAAGGTGTCCTGCCAGGCCTCCTTTGCTGAAGCAAGCTTTTAGCGGAGCTTTCTGTGGGGGAGGGGGAAGACGACTTTTTATTAGTCTAAGAGGACTCTGGAGACAACAGGCAGAATTTAGACTTCTACTTCTAATCCTGATTTGCATAATTTGACTAAATCGGATGGGCCTCGTTTTTGGGCTTTCTGCTGTTGAATAAATCTCAGATCTCTTTAAGCTCAGGTTTTAGAGAACCTTAGTGGTATACGGAAAGCAATATATAAACCCAAATTGGGATTCCTTTCTTTCTACTTGAATTATTTTTGATTACTCAGAATAAGCATATATTACAAAGCGGAAAGGAAATTACCCTCTTTTAGCTCAAGATGTTCTTGTTAATGATAGATATGAACAATAACTTTTCTGCTAATGCAGTGTATTGATATTTTGGGGTCAAATGAGTCAGCTGCATGACCGTTCACTGCGTACTGCCTTCTTGGAAGAGCAGTAGGACTTTGACATTTGCATTCCTGTGATTTTGAGAGACATTTCCATCTGTATTTAGTGACTACAAGAACTGGGGAAATCTGCCCCACTTGCCATCTAAAATGGTATACTGGTGCTCTTCACAGCACTGACTCCTGTGTTGAGAACACTTTTAGTGCCCACTGAAAGAGAAACTAAATTGCCAGCAAGAGCTTCTGCAGCAATGAGTCATCCATATTTCAGTCATTTTTTTTCGATGGGCTTTGATGCCCATTAACTTGCATGGTTTGAAGAAAATTCCCCTCTATGAGGCATGGCTTGTGCATTTTCCAGTGCAGAAGTCTACATGGGAGTGGTTTGGAGGCTGGTTGAAGCTGTGATATTGCAATATTTCATCATTCTTTAATGCTTTTTTTGGTATCGAATCTTCAGGAAAGCATTAAAGACTTTCTTGTAGCCCAGCAAATTTTCTCATATTAAGTTATTTTCTTTTTTCCGTAGCAAGCTTGAAGTAACTGGAGAAGCATATCAATGTTCTTTGCTTGTGGCAAAAGAGAAGATGCCATCTGGAAGGCTACTTAGTCACTGCTGAATTTGTCTAGTTATTTACATGCTTACTTTCAGATGCTCAGACAGAAATGTGCAAAGAGGCTCTTTTTGAACAGCTCAGTTAAAGCCCTGCTGACTCCTCATGGGAAACATTGGCAGATAGTCGATTTAGCGATGATTCTGTTAATACGTCAGATAACTTCATTTTTCTTCTTTGTGTGTTTTTATTATTGGAGACACTTGTGTGAAAACAGGATCTTCTGGTTCCTCAGCTCTGTTTGGCAATCCTCCCACAGTGGGAAAGGTTTTAAGGCTAAACCCAGGAATGGGAGAATAAGAAGCGAGAAACAGTTCTTAACATCTTTTGTCTGAAAGGGCTTTGCAACTGATAGTCTATTGTGTCACTGAATTTCATAGAGATCGTGGTGGAAGATGGCAGCAAATTGGAACATGAACTCCTATGAGGCGCTGGAGGAAGGAATCAAAGAGGATATTTTAACAAGAGAAAAAGGCCAGCCCTTCCATTTTCAGTGTCTTGGTGACAAATTTTACTGCACTGTTATTCTGCAAAGCAACTGAAAACTAGGTTGCATGTAGATTCTCTTAAAAATAATAATTAAAAGGAAGTTATGTAGAGTATATTCTCTTTGCTAGAAATCCGTGCTTTGGAAGTTTCCAGATGTGCCAACAGGTGTCTGTTTTCATGATGTTTTTCATTTGAAGATAATTACTTTTCCTTTTAAAATATTTTCCATGCATGCTCACAAGGCTCAGTTTATGTTGCTTTTAATAGTCTCAGTTCCCTGAAAATTCTGATTTACAATTACACCCATGAAGTATGCCAAAGAAGTGATTGCATTAATCCTTCCAGGTTTGCAGAATACCATAGTATTTCCTTGAATTTATGTCTGTAAGCTCCTGTATAAATGAGGAGACTTAAGGAGCAATTTAAAAGTCTTGCCAAAGGTTATTTATCAGGGTGATCACAGAGAACAGTCCAGCTCTTCCTTTTTACCTAATTGACAACACTCACAAAGATCAGCTCCAGCTTAGATTGTAAACTTTTTGGAACAAGAGTCATGCTTTTACTTCTTTGGAGCATGGACACCATTGAAAAGGTGAAGGGTTTCCTTGTCAGCTTTAGTTTGCAAGCTCTGAAACTATTTCTGTAACAGGCTCTAGCAGTCAAAGAGGAGGATTAACTTCTGTGGTGGAGGTAGCAGCATCTTGTTGAATGCAGAAGTGTCTCTCTGGAATTCCAGAAATTCACATTTTCCTTTACCTGAAGTGAAGGTCTTGGAACATCAAGAACTGCACATCGGGATTTGTCAGATGAAGGGGACTACCTTCTGCTTGGTTTTGCAGAAGCAAGGTGTGTGTCTTCCTTGGTCTTGGCAGAAAGCTCTGTCGTGGTTGAGGAAAGCACGGGCATACTGTGCTAGGCAAATTGAAGTAAACTGGAGCACACCTGAGGCTGTGCAGCTTGGATGTGATGTACACTGCTCCTTCCTTTGGACTGAGATCACTCTTGGAGAAAGGTGCGAGTAGGAAAGATGTAAAAGGTCTCTAGTGGTGGAAGCCTGTTGCACCCATGAGGAAGAGATGAACTCATTTCTCAAATTATTTTTACGTCTTTTTTTTTCTAATGTTTGTATTTTCCTGTGAGGAAGTGGCATATTTGTTAAAGAAGTATTGTCAGTAAATTATTAGAAACAGCTGTCTCTGAAAATTTCCTTCAGCCTGTTCATGCATTTTTGCCTTAAAAGTTAAAAGCATTTGAAGGAAATTGTTTGGCTTTGGAGCAAACGTTTGCTGGTGTGCATAGTTCTGTCTCTAACTGGGGGAGAGATGGGGTGTCCGGTCAATAGACTCCATCAGTGTGGAAACGTGGCCACCCTTGACCAAGCCTGCTTTGTATTCCCCCCTCGCGCTCTCCCAGCGGCCGTGTGAAATCTGCCCGCGGGCTGTTTACGGTGCGCCTCTAGAACAGAATCATAATTTTGGTGACTAATAGCCAGAGCATGTGGCTCCAGCACCCCCCGGCTGGCGGCAGGCTCTCCCCTGGTTATGAATGTAGTTAGGTGGCCCCCAACTGTTTACAAGACAGCAGAGGTGAGATCTTTGATTGACAAGTCAGAAATGCATTAGATCATTCCCTCTGCCAGTCTCTGGTTCATGCTGTTAAAAATGTCAGCCTCTCCAAGTTTGAATGGCAGCCCGAGGGCCTCAGAAGCTTTTTGTTTTCTGAGATGGAAACACAAATTGGATGTGTGCCTGAGCGCTTCATCCTGGGCTGTAATTTCATCTTTTAGCTAAGAACCACAAGGTACATGAGCAAAGCACCCTGTAAACAATAATACCAGGGAAAAAAATAAACAAGGTCGTGTTTCTGGTACGTTGATCCACCGGTGTCCTGACCTCTATCACGTTGAACATCTCCACTCTGATTGCTGTTCCCTTTGGCATTACAATGAGAGGAGAGAGACTGACACGGGAGGCAAAGATTTAAAGTTTGCAGTGTTGTTGCACATTCCTTGTATTGGCTATGAAATATTGAACTGCCACAGTGTGACACCTGGTTTTTTAAGCAAAGTTTCTTGTTGGAGGTGTTCGGCAGCAGTTTCTCGCGTTCCTCCTCATCTTACCGCCTGGCAGGAGCAATTATGAAGGCATGAGAGGGGATACGAGAAGGAGTAGAACTGAAGCCAAATTAATTGCATAGTTTTTGCACGACTCCAGCCCCTATCTGTGGTTCAGGCTTTTGGGAGCTTTGGTGTAGGAGG